GGAAAGAGTTAACAAAAAGAAGTGAATAAAAGCTATTTTTAAAACCGAAGGGCCTTACAGCAGCTGGCTTAGCCCTTCCCCGGCTCAGACCGTACTTCCGTGCTGATAAATAGCTGCTCCCATCATTGTACGTGAAAACATGCAAGTAACAAAAGCAAAATGGTGTCAGCAAATAAAAGGCTAAATTGTAATTACACTTTGCACTTAGGCAGCATCTGTGTTGCAGCACTCGGATGTCTCCATGCACGCCGGCGGGGGAGAGGATGGAGCCGAGGAGAGGAGCCGAGCGGCTACAGCCCCGCCAACAGGATGGGGGGGGCGAGGAGGTGGTTGTGGTTGTGGTTGCGGGGCTATGACCCACTCTATGAGCAGTGTAGCAGGGGCAAGGAGGTGGCCATGGGGCTATGGCCATCTGTCCAGGTGTGGAAGGAGGTCCTTCCATCCTGATGGGGGACTGCAGCTGCAGCTTAAGATACCCTAAGTCGCTTGTCCCTTTTACTTTCAAGTCCCCTGACTTTGTTAAAGCCACCCTGCTCTGGGTGGGATCGCGTCCTCAGCAGGAGCAGGGTGGCATCGCGGGCCACCTGCCAGCCCCGCACACCCCCAGAGCCCAGCGGGGAGCGAGCAGGAGGGACCTGGAGGGAAACCAAAACATTTTCAGCAACAGCTAGAGGTGTAGAAGTGACAACGAGGGCTGCTGAGCTCTTGGCCAAGGGAAAGCAAGTCTGGATGCTCTTCAAGAGATGATTTTCTGCCCTTTGCGTACACAAAGCACTACTTGACCATGATAGTTTTATGAACAGCCAACTAAAAGCAGAGCCGAACTCTCAGCTGTAGCTGAGTGCTTTAATTTCTTCCACTTTATCTCACAGACCCTTGGCCATCCGTAGACACGAGCTGTCACCCACCAGCTGAGTCCATCCCCTCCAGCTGCACGGGTCCTGAGCTGCCGTGTCTCACAGCGTTCGGAGAACGATCCTGCAAGACTCCGTCCGGCTTCTGTCCTCACATGCAGAGCACCAACACATGTGGCATGGAGGGCCTTCTCCTTACAGGTGTGCTGCCAGCTACCGCAGAGGGCTACCAAAGGGATCCATTTGCTGGGATACGGATAAACCAGACCGGTCGGACCCAGGCTGCTGCTTGCGGTGTCTTGTCGGAAGGGATCATGATCCCACTGGAAAGCAGCAGTGTTGATGCCCCGGGCTGAGTGTGCTCTGCCTTGCCACAGCCATGGCAAACGTTCATCCCATTGCATTTCCAAAGCAGCATCTGGTTCTCTCTCTCTCTCCCAACAAGCAGAGCCGTGTTATTACATTAGCACCACACCAGCATGGTCCCACTGGGGAATTCAGCCCGTGCTGATGGTGAAACCTCTTGGGGGGGG